TGTAACAACCAACATTATGCGTTTTTTTAAATGGTTTATGGGGACCTGCTCCCTGCTGGAAAGTGGCCAGTGGACATTCTTTGTACAACTCTGCCGTTTGCTCTGGAGCAGTTAGTGGCTTAGGCATGGCCTGAAGTTGGGAGAGGAGATGTGTTAAACCCTTGTGCCATCTCAACTGCTGACCAAAAGGTTGGTGGTTCAAATCTGGGGAGCGGGGTGAGTTCCTGTCTGTCAGCTCCAGCTTCCCATGTGGGGACATGAGAGAAGCCTCCCACAGGATGGTGAAACATCCGGGCATCCCCTGAGCAACGTCCTTGCAGGCAGGCAATTCTCTCACACTAGAAGCGATTTGCAGTTTCTCAAGTCGCCCCTGACACACACACACACACAAAATAAAACCTTGTGACTAGATTTTGTTGTTTATTCATTCAGTCGCTTCCGACTCTTCATGACTTTATGGACCAGCCCATGCCAGAGCTCCCTGTCGGCCGTGGCCACCCCCAGTTCCTTCAAAGTCAACTCAATCACTTCAAGGATACCATCCATCCATCTTGTTCTTGGTCGGTATTGACAAGCCGGAATGTGTCCAGAGGAGGGCGACTAAAATGATCAAGGGTCTGGAGAACAAGCCCTATGAGGAGCGGCTTAAGGAGCTGGGCATGTTTAGCCTGAAGAAGAGAAGGCTGAGAGGAGATATGATAGCCATGTATAAATATGTGAGAGGAAGTTACAGGGAGGAGGGAGCAAGCTTGTTTTCTGCTGCCCTGGAGACTAGGACGCGGAACAATGGCTTCAAACTACAAGAGAGGAGATTCCATCTGAACATGAGGAAGAACTTCCTGACTGTGAGAGCTCGTTCAGCAGTGGAACTCTCTGCCCGAGTGTGGTGGAGGCTCCTTCTTTGGAAGCTTTTAAACAGAGGCTGGATGGCCATCTGTCAGGGGTGATTTGAATGCAATATTCCTGCTTCTTGGCAGGAGGTTGTACTGGATGGCCCATGAGGTCTCTTCCAACTCTTTGATTCTATGATTCTTCCTTTTTCCTTCCATTTTCCCCAGCATCAGAGACTCTTATCAATACATTTATATACTGATGGAAGTTGTTAAAATATTCAGGAATATTTGCTCTTTTGCTAGTTCTCAAAGCGAATACACAAATGACCCTATCCAAATAAAAGGGAAACAGGCATAAAGATTTATTTTTGTCCCAGCAATTCATATAATTCTTCTGTAGCAAATGTATACAATTTATCCTTTTCCATTTCAGATATATGAAAAGTGGAAGCAGAAAACACAACTTGCTAGCAATTGTGTTTTCACCGGAAAATGAGATCATTCTTTCCTGGGAGAATTTTGTTTCTGGATGGAAGAGATGAATTTCTTTAATTGCTTTTGCCCTATATAAGGCATGAACAAAATATAACTGCTAGCATTAAATTACACCATCAAGGCAAGGCGTAAATATGCCAAATATTGGCTGAATGAGAACATCATATAGAGATGCGCATGTGGAAATTGCCATCTCAAAATCTGTTGACCCACGAAAAGGATGATAGATTTCTGCCAGTATTTGCTTTTTCCAAAATCTTGATCCTGTCATGGTATTTTCCATTTCCAAAATAAACAATACAATTCCATTTGCAAAACAGATACTAGTAAAAGTAAAGGTTTTCCCCTGACATTAAGTCTAGTCGTGTCCGACTCTGGGGGGTGGTGCTCATCTCCATTTCTAAACCGAAGAGCCGGCGTTGTCCATAGACACCTCCAAGGTCATGTGGCCGGCATGACTGCATGGAGCGCCGTTACCTTCCCGCCAAAGTGGTACCAATTGATCTACTCACACTTGCATGTTTTCAAACTGCTAGGTTGGCAGAAGCTGGGGCTAACAGCGGGAGCTCACCCCACTCCCTGGATTCGAACTGTTAATTTTGGTCAGCAAATTCAGCAGCTCATTGGTTTCACCCGCTGTGCAATCAGGAGGCCCTACAGATACTAATACCACATCTTTATTAAATATGGATTTGAAGGTTACTGTAGAGCAGTGTTTCTCAACCTGTGGATCAGGACCCCTGGGGGGGTTGCGAGAGGGTATAAGCAGGGTCTCCAAAGACCATCAGAAAACAGAGTATTTTCTGTAGGTCATGGGGGGTTCTGTGTGAGAAGTTTGGCCCAATTCTATCATAGGTAGGGTTCAGAATGCTCTTTGATTTTAGGTGAACTATAAATCCCTGCAACTACAACTCCCAAATGTCAAGCTCTAGTTTCTCCAAACTCCACCAGCATTCACATTTGGGCTTATTGAATATTCATGCCAAGTTTGGTCCAGATCCATCATTGTTTGAGTCCACAGTGCTCTCTGGATGTAGGTGAACTACAACTTCCAAACTCAAGGTCAATGCCCACCAAACCCTTCAGTATTTTCTGTTGATCATGGGACTTCTGTGTGCCAAGTTTGGTTCAATTCCATCATTGGTGGAGTTCAGACTGCTCTTTGATGGTAGGTGAACTATAAATCCCAGCAACTACAACTCCTAAATGACAACATCAATGCCCCCCAAACCCCACCAGTATTCAAATTTGGGCATATCGGGTATTTGTGCCAAATTTGGTCCAGTGAATGAAAATACAACCTGCATATCAGATATTTACGTTACAATTCCTAACAGTAGCAAAATTACAGTTATGAAGTAGTAATGAAAATAATGTTATAGTTGAGGGTCACTACAGTAAGAAGGGGTCACGGCATTAGCAAGGTTGAGAAACACTGCTGTAGAGGGTCACTTTTACTTAAATGGAATTGCATTGAACTTCATGGCCTACAATTCTGAGAAGCATCGTTGTATGGTCTTGCCCGTTTAACTCGCACATTTTTAATTGAAGCCAACTTGATCTCAGTGCCTTATGGACTGCATTCAAACCGCAAGAACAATAACTAGCCCAGGTAATGTAATTTTACGTAGTTTACATTAATGGTGAGTAATTAAATATTTAAGATATAATTACAGGCTAATTACAGTGTGGCTGCAATGTAATAGCATTGTAATTGCATTCCTAATATTCTAAAGCTAGACATATGGGAAAACAAAAAAAAATCTAATTAAAATGAATCAAAGGCATTCCTTTTGATTAATTTAAGATCTCTTCCACACATGCTCTTCTTGTTCTTGTAGATAGATAGATTCCTTGTATACATTTTCTCTACCACAACCAATCCTATGATGTGCCTAGCCAGACATTTTTAGCAGCATCAACACTGGAAAGACAGTGATGGTTGGCTGGAGACACAAAGAATTCCAATATTGGATTGCAGCAGCATGTCTGCAGTAAACCATACAACAAACAAAGGATGAGCTGGGGAAAAGCAAGATCCTGTTCTAATTAATTCAAGTGTAGCTGGCTTTGACTGTATTCAAGTACTGTGTGCATCCAAATGATAGGATCAGACATCCACTATCACCATGGTTGTCCTCAATCACTTAGTGGTCATGAATGATGTTGGAGGAGGGGGAGGCAAGAACGACAACAATGATAATAGTGATAATAATGATAATAATGATGATGATGATGATGATGATGATGATAATAATAATAATGTAGTAGCAGCAGTAGTAGGGCTCAATTCAAAGTGCTGGCGTTGGCCTTTAAAGCCCTAAACGGTTCTAGCCCAAGCTACCTATCCGAACGTATCTCTGCTTATGAACCCACCAGGACTCTAAGATCTTCTGGGGAGGCCCTGCTCTCGATCCCGCCTGCATCACAGGCACGGCTGGCGGGGACGAGGGACAGGGCCTTTTCTGTGGTGGCCCCTCGGCTGTGGAACGCCCTTCCCACGGACATTAGATCAGCCCCTTCGTTAATGGTGTTTCGAAAAAAACTAAAAACCTGGCTGTTCGAACAGGCGTTCGGTTAAACAATGCAATGTACACGATGAATATAGGAAACGGAATTATGGAAGACGAATTGGATCACGATTCTAGTTACGAGACGTTAATGTGTTGTTATTGATGTGTCATTTTGTATATTATGCTGTTAATGGTTTTTAAATTTTGTATGCTGTTGGATTGACTTTTGCTCTTGTTGTAAACCGCGTTGAGTCGCCTACAAGGCTGAGAAATTGCGGTATACAAGCAAAGTAAATAAATAAAATAAATAAATAAATAAATAAATAGTAGTAGTTTTGGAGCACAATACTCCTGACCTCACAATCGTGTTAAAAAACTAAGTATGGATTGTTGATGTTGCAATCCCAGGTGACAGCAGGATTGAAGAGAAACAACTGGTGATCGGCACACTGTGTGTAGTGCCTAAAGACCTTGGCCTGCACTTAAACACACAACACTAACAAAATTACCATCTGCCAGCTGCAGAAAGCCACCTTACTGGGATCTGTGGCCATATTTCCAATGCACCTATATGAAAGATGTCATCAATGCTCCCTGAGAGCCCTCACATCTTGCACAGCTTCCCAAGCTTCAGTCCAAGAGCATTCCATCATGGAATGGTCCCTATGTATTTATTTATATTACGACAGAGCAGTTGCATTTTTTTCCAAATAGATTACTTTTGAACCCATAAAAAGAGCAACACATCCCATTTGAAAAGATGCTGGGAATCTTTTCCCTTTTCAGTTTCCCTCCCTACTTCCCCTCCTTTTGCCTTTCTTATCAGTCCTCCATCAACATCTGTTCAGCGACTATCCATCCTGTCTGCTGAGCTGACTAGTTTTCAATAACAATTTCTCCTTCGTTTTGTAACTTGGATCAATAAACCGCCTCTCTCATATTGGCTGAGATTCCAACACAATCATTTCACCCTTGCAGTTTGATTTTGTTCAGTTTTTTTCCCCTCCTGGCAAAGGGACGGATCAATCTGAAAGGATAAAAAAAATCCCCTTGAAGCTAAATAAATAAATAAAGCCCGGTACTTTTGGAGCACAGGACACCATTTACAATCCTGTCATTAAGCCCCACTAATCCTATTATTACGAAGATAAATAATTACCCATTGCGAAGAAAGGGATTCCCAACAGAGTCGAGTTATATTTTCCATCAGTAATGAAAAATATCCCTGCCGCAGTGACGCTGGAGATGCAGACAGTGAGCACTCCCAGGAGGCCGAGGAAGGGCTTGCTGCGGAGGCAGTCCTTCATGGAGCTGGAGAAGATAGCCGCCATCAGGATGAGCATCAGGCTCACTAAGATCTTGCTCCTGGCCAGGATGCTGGTCTTGTGGAAGTCTCTCCACAGGCTGAAGGAGGCCAGAGAGTAGAGCTGCAGGTCCTCGTGTTGGGGCTGCAGCCTGTGCATCAGTCTGCAAAATTCGTTCTCCCATTTTTCCCCAATGAGATCCTGAGCCACAGAATGGTAAGTCTGGAGGTAGTAAGTGACTTGGATGGCTCGGGCTGACTTGACCCTTTGGTCCTTGCTGTTCGGCTGTTCCAAGACTCCACCAAGTTGATGACCAATAAAAGCGCTTCTTCCATCCTGAGGAGGAAAACATTTGAAAAACAAAATTATTTGGGTACCAGAAAGAATGTGAAGAGTATTACCCCATCCTCCCATTGATACACCCAGAACTTTAGCATCATCATTACCATTCATTAAAGTCCAACATTTGGAAACACATTTATTCTTGCAACTTTTCTTTTGCTATGTGTTACCAAACTTCTAAGCAACTTTTAAGGAATTGTGGCGCAGCTGGCTGAGTGTCAGCTGCATTAAGATCACTCTGACCAAAAGGTCATGAGTTCAAAGCCAGCCCGGATTGGAGTGGGCTTCCAACTAATTGTGTAGCCTGTTGTCGACCTTTGCAAGCCGAGAGACAGTTGCATCTGTCAAGTAGGAAAATTAGGTACCACCTTAAAGTGTGGGGAGGCTAATTTAACTAATTTATGAGGCCATAAAAAAAGACTCCAGCAAAGCACTCCAGAAAAAAGCATGCAGGGAATGCGGAAGTACTTCAACAGTGTCGCAGATGGACGATGAAAGCGACAGCTCCCCTGGCGGCCAGAAAAAGTTAAATAGCCTCTGTGTATGTCTGTATACGTTGTATGTCAAAATTGGCATTGAATGTTTGCCATATATGTGTTCATTGTAATCCGCCCTGAGTCCCCTGCAGGGTGAGAAGGGCGGAGTATAAATACTGTAAATAATAAATAAAAATAAAAATAATTCAACTGAGCCCCCTTCTACACTGCCCTATATCGCAGATTATCTGCCACTAAATTTCTAGTGGGATGCACACTCTTCACCTACTCTTTAAGTTCTAGTGTAATGATAAGCATTAGAGTTGGTTAGGTTCGCTTCGTTAAAACATTACATTTGTTAAAACCTATTGAATTTGGTCTTTCGAATCAATTTTGAACCATGCAAGAAAAGTAAGAGGTGTAATTACGATTTGAACCACTTACCCTTTTTATTCGTAAATATTTTGTAATGTTCAGAACTCACTCAAGATTATTTTAATTTTCACAAGCATTAAGCAACTTTTGTAAAGTTTTGCTTCCCCTCCTGGGGGGCGATGCAAAGGAGGGATGAGGTGGGCATGCCTAAGCACAGCCATTGTTGTAGTTTGTGAAGGGAAGGCCCCCAATGGTAGAGATTGCAAAAGGCCCTGTTGTTAAACTACATTTCCCACACTGCCTTGCTGCGCATTAGCCAAAATGGCCGAGCAGCAGGCTCCTCCTCCTCCTCCTTTTCTGCATTACCAGCTGGATTCTCCCTCCGAGTTTGCATTCAAACCAAGTTTTCCTCACTTCCCCACTTTCTCACCCCAATCTCAAGGTTTGGCAACTGGGAATTAAGCCAGGCAGGAGGTAGCCTCCACTCAACAGGATCAAGCCAATGCTGGGTTTAAAAAAAAGGAAAGGGGGAAGGCGGGAGAAAATTGGGAAGGGAGAAAAGAGAGGGCACTTTCTGTTATAGATCAGTGGCACTAAAGGTTGATTGGGATATTGGTTAAAGCAACCAATTTTGGAAAGGAAATTGAACCTGTCAGAAGCACCTTCCTTCCCTTCCTCTCTTCCTTCCCTCCTCCCTTCCTTCTTCCTTCCTTCCTTCCTTCCTTCCTTCCTTCCTTCCTTCCTCCCTCTCCTGCCTCCCTCCCTCCAGGTGGATCAGGCAGATCTTATCGAGGAACCACTTCCAACTGCTTTGCCTCAATGCTACACAATCCTGGGAGCTGTAGTTTTGCATGGTTTTTAGCCTCCTTTGCCAAAGAGTGCCATACTACAAACCCCAGGATCCCATAACATTGAACTTTGGCATGGCTGCATCTAATCCAGGCCTGGGCAAACTTTGGCCCCTCCAGGTGTTTTGGATTTCCACTCCCATTATTCCTAACAGCCTGAAGCCCGCCTGGCAGTGGGAGCCAAGTGGCACCTCTGCCTCCCCCTCCTCCTCAGCATTGGCAGCCGAGGCAGGCCTGGAGTGGAAGCACCCCTCGGTCAGGAGTGGTCTTAGTGGAGTGGCCCATGATGATTCCCCAGTGCCAGTGCTGTTTTTTCCTACTGCGCATGCGTATCTGCCATTAATGAAGCTGTTTTGGAAGTTTTGGAAAGTTTTGAAAAAATTATTTTTAAAGGAAGTGACTTTAGAATCGAATCACCTACATCCGAAACGAGTTTTGGACCATTTGTTTTTGGATCAAACAAGCCTAATAAGCATATGTCTCTTCTTCCAGAGATCATGGCAAAGCCAGTTTGGTACACTAACGGGACTACCAGACTGGGACTTGGGAGACCTGGATTCAAATACTCATACTCAAAGCTCACTCAAGATGGATCTACACTGTGATATAAAATCCAGACTATCTGTTTTGAACTGGATTATATGACAGTGTAGATCAGGGGTCCCCAAACTGAGACCCGGGGGCCGGATGCGGCCCTCCAAGGTCATTTACCCGGCCCTTGCTCAGGGTCAACCTAAGTCTGAAATGACTTGAAGGCACATAACAACAACAATCCTATCTCACCAGCCAAAAGCAGGCCCACATTTCCCATTGAAATACTAATAAGTTTGTATTTGTTAATGGTTGTATTATTTTAAAGTGTTTTTTGAACTACAAATAAGATATGTGCAGTGTGCATAGAAATTTATTCATGGGCTTGTTTTTTCCCCCAAATTATAATCTGGGCCTCCAACAGTTTGAGGGACTGTGACCCGGCCCTTTGTTTAAAAAGTTTGAGGACCCCTGGTGTAGACTCATAAAATCCAGCTGAAAGCATACAATGTGCATTATATAACATTGTAGATCCAGCCTCAGCAACTCAGGGCCCTTCCAGTGCAGCATTTTTCCGAACGAAGCAGAGAGTGTTTGAGGACCGGGACATCTGTAGGAATACCAAGGTGCTTGTTTATAAAGCTATTGTCCTCCCAGCCCTGCTATATGCCTGCGAAACATGGACTGTCTACAGACGTCACATGCAACTCCTGGAAAGATTCTATCAGCGCTGTCTCCAGAAAATCCTGCAAATCTCTTGGGAAGACAAGCGGACAAATGTCACTGAAGCGATGGTCCTCCACCATCAACTCCGCTGGACTGGCCCCGTTGTCCGGATGTCTGACCATCGTCTCCCAAAGCAGTTGCTCTACTCCGAACTCAAGAACGGAAAACAGAATGTTGGAGGATAGGAAAAGAGATTTAAAGATTCAAAGCCAACCTTAAAAACTCTGGCATAGACACTGAGAACTGGGAAGCCCTGGCCCTTGAGCGCTCCAGCTGGAGGTCAGCTGTGACCAGAAGTGCTGCAGAATTTGAAGAGGCACGGATGGAGGGTGAAAGACAGAAACGAGCCAAGAGGAAGGCGCGTCAAGCCAACCTCGACCGAGACCACCTTCCACCTGGAAACCGATGCTCTCACTGCAGAAGATGCAGGTCAAGAATAGGGCTCCACCGTCACCTAGGGACCCACCGCTAGGACACTGAACTTGGAGGACAATCTTACTTGGACAGTGAGGGATCACCTAAGTAAGGACTGGGTGGCCCACGAAGTCTCTTCCAATTCTATGATTATATTATTCTAATCCTGGGATTTGTTGTTGGTGAGGCAACTAGCACACTTTGGGCAGAGACGACTTAAAGGCCTTGTGAAACTACAATTCCCAGGATTCGATAGCTTTGAGCCATGTCGCTTCCAAGTAGGGGTCAAACTGCATTTATTCTTCCAGCGTAGGCTCAACCTGAGCTTGTGTTGTGTGTGTGTGTTTTAAACAAAGCTCCTGAGAAGAGAGGCCGGGCTCACAGCCTCTGCTTCTAGTTTGGTAGGGAAGGTCACGTGACAAGGGCACGGCAGGGGCGGGGGTCCCTCTCCTCGCGCTCGGCTCCCTGGTCACGTGCGCTCCAGAGGCGCACGCCCCGCCCCCTGAGCGCTCGAAAGCCGCCCTGCGCGCGCTTTTCCGTTTCGCCGGGCTACTACCTCGCGCGCCCTTTTCTCTGACAGCCCGCACGCCCGCCCGCCGGCCTTCCTTCTTTCCTCCCGGGCGCCTTCCTGAGGGAGGCCGGGCGGCTGCCCGGCTGGCTGGCTGGCTGGCGGGGAGAATGGCCGTGGCTGCTTCCTCCGCCGACGGCGACGTCCAGGTAAGAGAGCAGAGGCCCGCGGGGGAAGGGAACGGAAGCCAAGCCTCCCCTCTCCTTTGGTGGGGTCTCAGTTTCGCCCCTCAGGCCCAAATGCCAAGGCATGAAAGGGGGTCCTTGGGGTCTTCCAGTCTTCCGTCCACCGAACGTTAGCCCTATTCATTTAATGGGGTCTTCTTAGGCAGGGAAGACTCGGGGGTGATTTCTGCCCGTTCCTTCTTTGGAATGCAGCTAATCACATTTGTATTGGTTGGCGCTATCCCATCCAAATAGGCACTAGGCCCTGACAGGACCTGGCGTTTCGCAAATGAGTTTTAAATGCTATTTTAAGGGCCCTTCGAGACAGGCCCTATATCCCAGGATCTGATCCCAAGTTTTCTCCTTTAAACTGGATTATATGAGTCCCCACTGCCAGATAAACTGAAGACCTAGGATCAGATCCTGGGATTTATTTATTTATTTATTTGCTGTATTTTTATACCGCCTTTCTCAGCCCATAGGCAACTCAAGGCGGTTAACAGGGCAAATTTAAATGCTTGCAATGTCATAAATATAATTAAAAACATAACATACAATAAAAATTAAGCAAATCAATAAAATATAAATTCATAGTGTCTTGTTAAAAACGTTGTCCGGACTCATTGTCTAGTCCAAGGGTCCTCAGTCAGAGGGCCAGGTCACAGTCCCTCAAACTCTTGGAGGGCCAGATTATAATTTGAAAAACGCATGAATGAATTCCTATGCACACTGCACACATCTTATTTGTAGTGCAAAAACACTTTAAAACAATACAATAATTAAAATGAAGAACAGTTTTAATGAATATAAACTTATTAGTATTTCAATGGGAAGTGTGGCCCTGCTTTTGGTTGATGAGATAGGATTATTGTTGTTGTTGTGTGCCTTCAAG